CTTGTAGATCCATTTGAGCTAATAATTGCACTCCTACTCATATACCCAAAATAAAGTCATACATCTGCTTAAAAAACCCATACATGAGTTTTTATAACAACATTATTCCTAACATGCTCAGACTGAAAACAACTCTATCAGCTGTTGAAATGGACAAAATGTGGTATTGATACATGCTGTAATATGGATGAACCTTCAAAACACGATAAATAGAAGCCAATCAAAAGAGACCACATACATGATCCCAATTATATCACAGGAGGAATTAAAGGGTTTATCTCAATAAAGCATTTCTATTAACATTATTCCTAACATGCTCAGACTGAAAACAACTCTATCAGCTGTTGAAATGGACAAAATGTGGTATTGATACATGCTGTAATATGGATGAACCTTCAAAACACGATAAATAGAAGCCAATCAAAAGAGACCACATACATGATCCCAATTATATCACAGGAGGAATTAAAGGGTTTATCTCAATAAAGCATTTCTATTAAAAAAAAATGGAGGAAAGGATAGAGGAAAACAAAACTCTTTAGAACCTTATTGTCTCTCTGGTTTGTGTATGTTTGGGTAAGCATTAGATTTTGGTCTTCAGTCCATTGAGAAAAGGCAGGTCACTCCATTAACATAGTCTGAGATTTACTGTCCTCTATCCCTGCACTCCTTACAAGATTGTAGATTCTGCTCAGCCACTGGAAAGCTAACCTCAAGATGTTTTCCATTCCTGTTCTGCCTGTGGTACTGTTAACCACGTCACTCCTCCTGAGTTGATTAAACACTGAAAGCAGCTTTACAAACACCCCTGACCACAACATCCTTAGGAAGTCTCAGCACCTCATTCTTTTCTACCATGTCCCACTTAACCCAGCAGCTCTCAACTGACACTGTGATTTAGGAACTATGAGTACAGATCTTTTAGAAAAGAACCCTAGGTCCCCACATCCTGTTCTCCTTCTAGCCCTGGGCACAAGCTCTTAGCACCCCAGATCTCTGGAATACCCTCTTAGTCCAGACCCACCCATTGCATCCTTGATCCCTTGCAGTCAGACCAGCTCAATCTTCAGTCTAGTTTCTTAGAGCCTTCACAGGCTGTCCCCACCCCCCAACTTGCCTTGGATTCTGAGACCAGCCTTCTTCCCTGGTAAGTCTGATTCCTCACTGCGCCTTGACTCCCTACCAACCCAAGCAAATCTAATCTCCCCAACCCCACATCCTGTTCTTCTGGCCTTGGGCACAGGCCTGCTTTGCTCTTAGCACCCCAGATCTCTGGAGTATCTGGACACTCTTAACTCCCTGCAGCAGTGAGCTCTCCAAATCACACAGTGCCCATCCTTCTACATTGAGACCATCTGCGGCCCCTTCCACGCTGCTGCAGGGCTAGGCTTTTCTGCCTTTTAGTAGGGGCTCAGAACTTTCCACACTGCCTGAAAGTGACTGAATCCAGCCTCTGCATGGGGGTGAGCTTTCCAAATCAGGCCGTGTTCATCCCCCTACACTGGGACTACCTATAGCAATTCCCACTGCTGCAGGGTTAGGCTTCCCTGCCCTTTAGTAGGTGCCAGACCTTTGCGGACAGCCTGGATCTCCTGAATCCAGTCTGCACCTAGCAAGCTTCCCAAATTTTCTGTGCTTGCTGACTAGAGGGGCCTAGACCTTAGAAGGAAGCCTAGAAAGCCTCAGATTCTCACCTGACTTGGGATTCTGTGGGAAGTCTTGAGTAGCTGGACTACAGCCATCTGGTCCCTTCAATATAAAAGCCAAAGAGAGGACCTGAAGCTTAGACCAACCAGCTTTTCATACCCAATAAGGAAACAACAAAGGCACATCAAGAATATAAACATAAACAGTCTTAAATTCAACAAAGGAAGGTTTGAGTTTCACATCAGAATCAGAAACAACAAAAGATATCCGCATACTAAAATCACAATAAAATAATATGAAAAACCCAAATAATACGCCCCCACCAAACTCCAACAGTTCTATAGAGAAGTTCCACAATGAGAACCCCCTAGAGATAACCCAAGACACAGAATTTAAAAGAACCATCATAAACATGATCAAAGAATTTAATGAATTTAAAGAACACACAAATCAAAGAACCTGAAGATAAGGAAATATGGAAAAAACTCAGGCTGAAATGAAGAAGGAAGTGAAACACTTAATAAGTCAATTAGAAATGACAAGAGAAAGCCTCACCTGTAGAATGAATGAAATGGAAAACAGAATATCAAGACTGGATGGTGAAGCTGACAAATTGGACCACTCAAACAAAGATTATGAAAAATTTAAGAAAACACAGGAATGGAATATGCAGGAAATGTGAGACACCATGAAAAGACCTAATTTGTGCATCATAGGCATAGAGGAATAAGAAGAATCTCAGGATAATGATATGTACAGGATTGTAGCAGAAAATTTCCTAATTGACTTATTAGAACGATATGCCATACAAATACAAGAAGCACAAAGAACACCAAATAGGACCAAAAAAGAAACTCCCCACGGCACATCATAGTAAAAACACTAAACGTACAAAACAAAGAGACAATAGTGAAAGCTGCAAAAGAGAAACAACAAGTCACATATAAAGGAAACATACTTTACCTAGCAAAAATGTCTATTATAGTTGAAGGGGAAAGAAAAATCTTCCACAACATAAATACGCTGAAAGAATTCATGTCCACAAAACCAGCAGTTTAGAGACTTCTTGAAGCAATACAAAGAGCTGAAGAAAGGAATAACTATACCAAGGGGCAACAGAAAGAAACTAAATAAAGGCATAACTGTGGAAACACACAATTAGAACAGGAATGCAAACAGAAATTAAAATGATGGAAATTAATACACATCTTTCAATAATAACTTTAAATATCAAGGGATTGAACTCCCCAGTCAAAAGATACAGGATTAAGAAAGAAAATCCATCTTTTTGTTGTCTGCAGGAAACCCATCTCACCTTCAAGGACAGGCACTGTCTTAAGGTGAAAGGATGGAAAATATTATTCCAACATGAAAGGATGAAAAAAAATATTCCAAACAAATGGCACTAAGAAACAAGCAGGAGCTGCAATTCTAGCTGCAATCTGACAGAACAGACTTCAAACTAAAACTAATCAAAAGAGATAGAGATGGTCACTTCATTCGGATCAAAGGAACAACTGACCAAGAAG